TAAAATATCCTGTCAAACGAACACGTAGTTTCTCAGCTCGTGGTTGACACTATAAAGACGTCGCACAACGAAGAATGAAGACAAATAAATATACTGGGACACACGCAATATACTCGACGTGTCCGATTTCAGCGCCACATGTATTCACGATTTCGTCAGAGTTTTTTTTTTAAATATTTTTATCATCCATTTAAAGTAGAGGTAGACATAAGAAATAATAGATCCCGATACAATAATGCTTCTTGTTTACTTCTCACTTCGATTTCAAGGCTATACGGGGAACATTTTCTTTTAGGATCTAACATCTTTAGATAATTTTTCTACGCAATATGACGACGTCACAAAAGAGCGTCGATCCGTACAATCTATGACCACGTCCTCGCGCTTTAGAAGTTGTTGAAAAGTCTCACGGCAGATTTTCGGTTTCGTTTCGAATATCTCTGCCCCTACAGACCGGAAGTCTAGGAACACCATTTGCGCGAGAAAGCGGTCGTGAAAGTCGGTGGAACTAGGGATGTATACTGGATAACTACTATATACGACAAAAGAATATAAAAAGGACGACAAAAGAATGTACTTTACCTCGATTATTCAACTGTCGGCGCTTTATACATTCAGCTTCTGTACAATAGATAGTCCTATGAATGGAACGCACGTGTTTCTTGTGTTGTCTTATTTCCTTTAGCAATGTTACGTCTCAAGTTCTCACTGGTGACGTGAGAACCTACCCACCCTTTCTAACCCTTTCCTTACCAACAGCTTGTTGCAGGTTCCCGGTCTTTTCTTTCACACTATTGAGTATGATATTCACTCGTGCATTTCGTGTAACCTTTGTGAGGTATGGAACTTTGTGGAGGATGGTTAAAGTCGTCATCTGAACTGTGTTTTGTAGAGGATGGTTAAAGTCGTCATCTGAACTGTGTTTTGTGGAGGATGGTTAAAGTCGTCATCTGAACTGTGTTTTGTGGAGGATGGTTAAAGTCGTCATCTGAACTGTGTTTTGTGGAGGATGGTTAAAGTCGTCATCTGAACTGTGGTTATGTTTTTCATCACCTATCTTGATGACTCCAAATGTATTTTCTATGTGTTCACATCTGCTGTGTGCTAAGAATTCTCAGTGATTGTTCACGTTTACCATGTGTTGGTGGATTCTCAATGATTGTTCACGTTTACCATGTGTTGGTGGATTCTCAGTGATTGTTCACGTTTACCATGTGTTGGTGGATTCTCAGTGATTGTTCACGTTTACCATGTGTTGGTGGATTCTCAGTGTTTGTTCACGTTTACCATGTGTTGGTGGATTCTCAGTGATTGTTCACGTTTACCATGTGCTAGTGGATTCATGGTTCCTTTGTTTTTATGAAAGAGGAAAATCTCATCACAAGTTTCCTGGGCGTCATCTATCATGCCTCGTTAGATTGTCGAGTTAACGATATAAGTAAGTGGTTATTCGAGACCTGTAAAGTTCTTAATAGACAAAATAAATCAATTACTTAAATCGCCATTAATCATGATATTAAAACGTAGATACTCAAAAAGTAATTTTTTTTTCAGATCACGCGATCGACATTCTGATGATTAGTTTTTATTCTCAAATTACCTACCTATGTCTGTACCACTCACTACCGGTGAGGTTCACAATTACCAGTTTATGTTTGTACCACTCACTACCGGTGAGGTCCACAATTACCAGTTTATGTTTGTACCACTCACTACCGGTGAGGTCCACAGTTACCAGTTTATGTTTGTACCACTCACTACCGGTGAGGTCCACAGTTACCAGTTTATGTTTGTACCACTCACTACCGGTGAGGTTCACAGT